ACTTTTGGTCCCAGTGGTAGTCGTTGATCGAGGCTGCAGGCTTAGGAGACTATTGAGGTATCTGCACGGTGTCCGCAGGCCTTAACTCTCCTTCTTTATATCTAGATGTATTTTAGTCTGTTTTCTTTAAAACATTGTAATAGACTATGTTCTTCTTTAGACGCTCATGAAATGAGTGACACCCCGGTTTTGGACAGTTGTATCGAAATTTGAATTTTATTTTGTTTTTCAAAAATGTTCCTTAATGAATTGTCGCTTTCGTGTTTATTGTTTAAAAATACTTATGCGGTGTTGGATTATTGAGTTGAAGCTGGCCTAGTTCCACAATAGGCGCCATCACGACGGGTCAGGTTTTGGATTGTAACAAAAAATATTCATCATGAGTTGAATAATTGGCAAATAAAAAATTCTTTACGCCCATTTTGTATTATGCTATTAGATGCTAAAGTGTAAAGAAGATAGTCTCTACATGTAAAGGAAGTACCTTGCCGATATTCTCTACGTGTTAAAGAACTACCCTACCCTACCCTGCTTTGCAAAGTTTCATTGTCATTACATTCCACTTTGTAGAAACTTCCCCTCAATCTCAACTATTTGGATTCAACTTTGCCATAAAAGATTTCGTCTATCCACATGAGTGAGGTAATTTTTATAAGTAAAATACAAAAATTATCGAAGAAATATGTCAAATGCAAATTTAGCACGGTGTGAAGACTTCGAAATATGATTTTATTTTCTTCCAAACAAGAGACAAGTTGTACGAAAAGAAGATTAATGAAATCACTTGAAGAGCAAAAGGAAATTCTATCAGAATTTAGTATCTCCAAAGAGTAAGAAGATCATATCTGCATGTTGATGAATTACCCAATCCAAGTAATCTCCATCCTGAGTTAGCAAATTTTCATTGACAAGATTTATAATCCATAAATAGAACATGATCACCGAATAATTATGCTAGATGCAACTTTAGCATAGCGGTTGCCTAAAGGAACTCATTCTATTTCTCTTTCAAATAATATGAAAATCAGACGGAAAAAAAAGTGAGGAGCAAAAGTCACCCTGGAAGATCAATAGGAGACTAATAGAATTTAGTAATTCCAAAGAGCAAAGATGACCATACCTATATGTATGTTACCTCAAATATAAACTCACAATAAGCAGACATACACATGTGCATACTAAGTTATGCAGAAGCACAACTGCAAGTACACATGACATATTTGTACGAGAAGCTAATTTGCGTTTTGATTGATCTCTCAAGAAGGGAATGCCTAACAAGTGCAGAGTCAGAGATCTCATACTGCAAATAAAATGTAAAAGACTAAGTCTAAATGTGAATCCTTTTCTTTTCTTTATTAAAGGGATTTTTTGAAATCATAATTTGTATATAATTATAGGAAAACTGCCTAAGAACTTACTTTCAAAGAATTGAGATGGATAAATTAAAGAAACAATATTAAAAAATCATACTCTTTCATCAAAATTACAATTCAAAAATTTTTTGTCTGAAAAAGAACACATAACACGACATATAAAATCAAATTAGTCATATGAATTATAGAACTTACAGGCGCAAGAAGACTAAAGCTTCTGATATGGAAGCTCAGAATTTAATTGTCTCTTGGCGACTCCTTTTAGCCGATCCAATCAAACCATCCTCAAAACTAATTGTATTTTGGAAATATACATGCTGGAAAGCATGAAATTTTCTAAAGCAATGAGCAGAGAGTATCAACAGCTTTTTCCCGATAAGTATCAACAGGTTTAGCATCTTCTTACATGCTAAATACGATAAAACAACTGACAAATCCGACAAATAAAATGTTAAATACCAAGAACAAAATGTCATCTTATCTGTTAAGCACATTTGTTGCTCTCATCTAATCAGAGTTGACTCGAATCTAAAGAAAAGCCAATTTACCAAATAAAATAACCAACAAAAAATAAAAAGAAAATAATTTGTATGAAAGACAGTTTAAGGACTATACCAGTCTACAAAAACACACTTTTGTTTATAGTGTGAGAGGAATCATGTGAGAGTTCATGAAAATTGTTCTCACTTTGATAAGAGTGAGTCTTGAAGGCCTTAAAAAACTCAAATGAAATGCCTATGACACACCATATCTCTTTTATTATATATCCTCATATATGGATAAACTTTTCCACAGCCAACAGTGCGGGTAAAGTCTTACCCGCACTGTGTGTTTACACGACGGCTTTGGTGGCACAGAAACAAGAAAGTGCTATCGATTTGACGTTACTATTAGCATGACGAAGATGTAGAATTATTAAGTATTTTAGTAGAGTATTAATATATTTAATATATCTCAAAACTAGTTAATTATAGTTAATTACTAATAATACTAGTTAAATAAATTAACATGTGTTGATTGTTTAATGGCCGGATATAAATACTTAGTGCGGGTAAGTGTTTGTTGTATAAATGTTATTGTTATTAAGTAGTTTTCTTAATGTTATGTTAAAATCTTAAACCGCAAATATAGATGATCAGGGTGAAATAAAACACTTGTTAAATTGAAATATTTAAGGTAATCTATTTGTAGCCGAAAATTGGACAAAAAATGCAACTTTTACAATTTTCAAGAAGGTGGTTTACTTTATTGTATCACAGAAGTAGTGCATTTTTAGAAAACTTGGATTTCATACCTAATATAGAGTCCTTTTGCTCATGGAAAGCTATCTAATGACTTTCAAACTTTTCCCAATAATATAGTAGCAAATCTTTATGTAAGAATGATTAATGATAAAAGTATTATAGACTGGTTAATTAGATGCTATATATGTACACAACAAAGAGAAGAGTTTGCAAACTGTAATTATCATTCATCAGAAATAGAAGATGGAAAGTCCTTGAGATTACTGGCAATTCTAATCATTCTTTTTGCTGTTGTATCAGGTTTTTACATTAATTTTTTTCTTTTTACCTAAAGTAGAGTTTTCTGTTAGATTTAATTTGTTCTTATCCTCAATTTCTTTTACTTAGTTATAAAGGAGATTGGAATCCAAAACCAAACAAGTGGTCGGGAGGCTGCCGAATTTTAAATCATATACAGTCAAATCTTTTTATAACAGTCATTCTTTATAATAATATCTTTATTATAATGACCAAATTTGTTTTGAAACCATTTCAGGTTATCTTATATTACATGTTTTCTATAACAACATTTTGTTATAGTAAAAAAGCAAACGGAGCAAATAATGTTATTATAGAGAGATTTGATTGTTACTGCAGTTCAAATTGTAGCCCTTCCCCTCACGCCCAGACCTGCAACTGGAGCATGGACAATATAAATGGGGGTCCAACATCGGTAACAATAAATTGGGATGGGCCTAACTCAATCCCAAAAACTAGCTTATAAGGTGAGGATTGGCCAATACCATATAAGGAGACCAAGACACTCATTACCCACCGATGTGGGACACAACTCAACATATATTGCTTTTTTTCGTCTTCTTGAACTGAGGGTCTATCAAAAACAACCTCTCTACCCCCTCGGAGTAGGGGTAAGGTCTGCGTACACTCTATCCTCCCCAGACCCCACTAGTAAAATTTCACTAGGTCGTCGTTGTTTGTTATGTTTGTATTTTTCTCCATTTTTCACATTCAAAGATGAGAAACTTATTTTAATTATGTGGATGCAGATGTCTATGGAATCAAAACATGCAGAGTTGATATAGGATTTTAAATATGCACAATAGGACCAAGAGATGGATGCTTTCGAAAATGTGTGGAAGGAACAGGACGTGCTGTCACTGAAGGAACTTGTATAATTAATGAACTTGGTGTAAGAACCTGCAAATGTGTTTTTTATTGTGCCTCAAAACCCACTATACATATTTCTATCCCTTAGATTTATTTATTTATTTTTTAAATTAAGTTCCATTGGAAGTAGTATTTGTTATAGTTGTAGCTCTATAGTCAGTTGCAATAAATTACCAAAAAATAATGAGCATCTAATGTTTTCATTCATAGAGTTATCTTTCTTGAATTAATATATTGATCTTTCTTCTAATTAATATCACCCTGCCTCTCTTTTTTATAACGTTGGGTAGGATTTTGTTTCATTTTCTTTATCTTCTCTCAATTTTGCCCAAATTTTCAGTCTCTTTTTATTCGTCTTTTTCCTCTCTTTTTTTGTGTATTTGTTGGATTCTCTTCAGACTTTTCATAGATATATTGTTAATTACTTCCTGCAAATGACAGAAACGAAAACAATTGTAGTTTCTTCCTTGAATCGTTTACACAACTTATTAGAGTCATTTATTTAGCAATTAAAAAAAAATAAGTGTCTTAATTTTCATGATGCGAGCAAACAAAACAAACACAATCTCTAGATTTAAGATTGAATTAATCATTGGTTCATGCTTATAAAATTGGTTGTAACTGCTTTCTAGGGGCTCTTTTCACTGCTTCACGTTGTTTTCTAAGCAAACCTATAAGAGGAAAAATGATTGTTGTAGCTCCTATCTTTTGAAATGGAGAGCAAAATCCAATATCACCAATGCTTCCATAAATATATCAAGAAGATGACATAGCTTTCAACCAAAGCATAGTCTTTTCTCTTTTGAAAAATGCCTCATGTGGCATGAATAGATAGGAGGAAAACTTAATAGTTAGAAAAGCATATATAATTGTTCTTTCGGGGACATTCGATAAAAAGAAAAGCATATTTAATTGCGGTTGTAACATCACATTAGTAAAAGCAAGCAGAGGTAAAGAAATTTTTTGTGATATATCCAATATTTAGCTTGATCACTATTTCTTCGTTTTGGAATATTTCAACAAAAAAATTTAAATGTGAATATGAGTAACATCAACTATGATGGCAAATATTTCATGTCTTAAAGTTTCTGCCATGTTTTCAGTAATTATAGCCTCCCAAATCCAAATCTAAAAATCTCGGTGAACAAGCACATTAGCTTATAATGAGAAGAGCCTACCTGCATAAATGCATTGAATTGTTTAATTAGATGAGAAAAACAATCCATAACTCTATAAATGAAATAGCTAGCGTAGAGTGAAATCTTTTCAATGGTCACGCTTACAAACGGACAATTATGAACTTAGTATTTAAACCACATCTCAGAAAATTCCTCCTAGTTTTTCTTTTATGATATCTTGGTTTATAGTGGTACATGGGAACAACATCTAGAACACCTAGCAGTTGTTCTTCGTCTACTGCGGGAGATCAGTTAGTCGCTAAACAATCCAAATGTCTGTTTGGACAACAGAGGATTGATTGCTTGGGCCATGCCATATCTTCTCAAGGATTGGCTGTAGACCCTGCCAAAATTGAGGTGATCAAGAATTGGCCAGTTCCCAGGTCTATCAAAGAAGTGCGTAGTTTCTTGGGACTTGCTGGGTATTACCGGCGTTTCGTTCGTCAATATGCATCGGTGGCTGGTCCGTTAACGGATTTGTTGAAAAAGGATGCCATTGGTTGGACTGAACGACAACAACACGCATTTGAGGCCTTGAAAAGTGCCCTTGGATCTGCTCCAGTCTCATCTTTGCCCGATTTCTCTAAAGAATTTCATGTGGAAACAGATGCTTCAGGTATAGGGGCTGGTGCAGTATTATAACAACAAGGCCACCCAATTGCCTATTTTAGTCAAAAGTTGCGTCAGCGTATGCAGAAAGCCTCAGCTTACCACAGAGAGATGTTCGCAATTGCACAGGCTGTTAGTAAATGGCGTCAATATTCGTTGGGTCGCCGTTTTGTCATTCACACAGATCAGCAGTCCCTTAAGAATTTAACAGAGCAGGTTATTCAGACCGCAACAAAAATGGTTGACTAAATAGGTTGGTTATGATTTTACCATTTTGTACAAGCCCGGGAAGACCAATTTAGCAGCTGATGCTTTATCTCGGACCCCTGCAGCTTCCTTTCATGCCATTTCTGGTCGCACCTTTGATTTAATAGCGGATTTACGGCAAGCAAATGCGAATCATCCTGAGTTGTTGGCTTGGAAACAGAGTATTCATGAGGAGGCAGAGACTCCTTCTGCTTTCCTCTTTAAAGATGGTCTTCTGTTGTATAACGGTAGATTGGTTATTCCTTCCGATTCCCCTCTTCGCATTCAATTGCTCAAGGAGCTTCATTCTTCGCCGGTTGGTGGTCACGCTGGGATATCCCGAACTTTCCAAAGAGTAGCTTCTAATTTTTTTTTGGAAGGGTTTACGACAAGATGTCAAAACCTTTGTTGCTTCTTGCAAGACCTGCCAACAGATGAAGGTATTTAGACATTTCGGTTTGGTATTTTCGGTATTCGGTTTTTTAAAATGCTATACCAATATTGTACATAATTAAATTCGGTATGGTTTGGTTTTTCTCCTTTCGGTTTCGGTTTATTTGGTTTGGTAACTTCGGTTTATTCGGTTTGAATACTAACTAGTGTTGATCATAGACTGTAATATTCTTAATTAAAGTACTTAAAAACACAAAATTAAAATTTTTTGTTGACAAAAGTTTTGTCCAAAACCGTCAAATATCAACCCAAAGAGAGAAAACTATACATAAAGGAATAAATTTGATCATTAGAAATGTGTTGTTACTAGCTAAGAGCTAATTGATAAACTTAGAGAATAAAAGAAAGTAAAATTTTAGATTTTTCATATTTATGTTATAATTAATAATATGTATATTGTGTAATATAATATATATTTCGGTACGGTATAAAATACCAAATACCATACTGAATACCAAAATATCAAATACAAAAATTTTCGATTTCGGTACGGTAATTCGGTATTTACCAAATTATGCATGGCTCTAGTTTAATCTATAGCCTCTTAAGGATATTTCCTATCTTGTAGCGCAAATACGTATTCAACGTATTCGTCTTCTCTGCGACTTAATTTTGCTGCAATAACTTTTAAATCTCACTTGGACCATAGAAAAAGAAGAAAAAAAAGTAACTCTAACCTCATAGAAGTAGTTCTGGCAGTGAGATCCCTAAGCGTGACATATGAATTTCTTCCACTTAGAAAAACTATCAACCTTTAATGGATGAACTGAAGAGGCCTGAGCACAACAACAACAACCCAGAGTAATTCCACAAGTGGGATCAGGGTAGGGTAGGATGTACGCAGCCTTACCCATACCCCTGGAAGTCATGTAATGTAAATATGGTTTAATATTGTATCACATTGACTTCAGAAATTAAGGTTCCAACTAACAATCTTGCGTCCATACCAGTGATTTTAAAATATTCACTTGGATGTTGAAAAAGGAATAAATACTACTCCATATGGCTAATGACACAAATAGTGGCATTGTCAAATGCAAAAATAAAGAGGTCAAACACAGGAATTTTCTTTTACAAATTATAAACTCTGAAGAAGACATCTTAGAGTTTCTTCCCCTGTTATCCCTTCAAATTTTTATCTTTCATCTTCAATGTACCATATGACTGTTTGAGAATTTCTCTAATATGTCAATATAACTCCATGGTATTTCACAGTTGTCATCTCCAATTCCAATTGAAATCAAGTGAGATTCTAAAGTCTAGTGTTATATTTTTCATAAAGTAATGGGTATTATTTTTTTCATAATTAGCACAGAGTACCAGACATGAAATTTGTTACTTTCCTTCTGCTTTCATGTAAAGAAAAAAACAATTTATTTCTTCCTCTACTAAGCAGTCAAATCTTTCACGAAACTCCAGTAAATCGCATTGGTCTCACTACAACAAAGAATTACAGAACAAAGAAATCAAAAGAATGACAGCAAAGCTTAATTACTGAAAATACCGAGACCTTACCCTCATCTCAGTATCCGTTTCTTCCGCAGTCTCTTCATCCTCACCATGTATTCCATCATAGAGTCCTCAACATCAGAAGCCAAAAACATATTGAAGTTTACTTTCTGTCAGTAGGCCAAGTAAGTCCGTTGACAAAAGGTTGTCTCAATCTAACTACAACAACAACAACAACAACCCAGTATGATCCCACTTAGTGGGATCTGGGTAGGGTAGTGTATACGCAGACCTTACCCCTACCCTGATGTAGAGAGGCTGTTTCCAAATAGACCCCCGGCATCCTTCCCTCCAAGAACTTCCCACCTTGCTCTTGGGGAGACTCGAACTCACAACCTCTTGGTTGGAAGTGGAGGTTGCTTACCGTCAGAGCAACCCCTCTTGACTCTATCTTACTATCTAACTATCATCATCAAATTACATATATTACGAAATTACAGTTTTTAATACAGGATAAACCACATATCGTATTAAACAGCATGATGTATAACATAATTTAGAAAAAGTAAAAAACTTACCTCTCATTGGCTGGTACATATCTTCTCATGAATGTTAGGATGAATTTATGCCACGATATGGAACTCATCTCTTTCACTTTCTTTCATGTTACTGAATCTCTTGGTAGTGTCTTACCAACAGAGATTACTCCGAAGGCATGCCAAGAAACCGGTTCTACGATGGGCTGGTGAACACAATGATGAAATTTAAATTAAATCTCACATGATCGTGCACTCTTCAAGCCTTCCATCTTGAGCCCATAACATGATGTCTCAATGTTCAACTATATTCCAATCCCTGCAAACATATTTAGATGCTTCCTAATCAAAATTAAAACAAACGTTGACAGTATAAAAGTAGTAATAAGCGATAATACAACAACAACATACCCAGTATAATACCACGGGTGGGGTCTGGAGAGGGTAGTGAGTACGCAAACCTTACCCTTACCTGGAGAGGTAGAGAGGTTGTATCCGAAAGACCCTCGGGTCAGGAAAAGATGGAAAGGAAGAATGGGGGAGAAGAAGAAGAGGAAAAAGGGGGG